CCAGCAGGTCCCTGAGGTCCAGTGACAAAAGCCTACTGGTTGTGCAGCACCAGGCTAAAGGTCAAAGGTGACAGATCATCTGCTGCTGTGGCCCCCAGACCCTGGACCTCTCTCCCCCTGAGCCTGAGAACAGTGGACTCAGTGGTCTCCTTCAAAAAGCAGCTGAAGACTCACTTGTTCAAGCTGGCTTTTGTATGACCTTCTTCACCTCTCTCTCTTTATTCTGCTCTCTCCACCTATTCCACCTTCCTCAGGATCCACTGATTTCCGTCTTTCCTGTTCACTCTCTCTCTTTCTTAATAGTTTTTAATCACAATTGTCTATTTTTTGCTCATTTTAAATATATTTTAACCATTTTCTAAATTCTTTTTTATATTTTTACATTTTTTGTTTTTGTGAAGCGCCTTGTGATTTTCTTCTTCTTCTTCTTCTTCTTCAACGAGTGAAGAGGTAAATGTGTAAAAGAACAACGTTTATTAATGCTGAAAGTTTTGTGACCATTTGTTAGAAATCAGTAAATGCATTCTGTCCTCACGGGCTTCCATAGAAGGAAACATCACATCCAATATGGCGTCGCCCAGAGACTTAGACCCGCTCCCATCTATTGTAGAACAGCTTTTATGGTTATATTTTCAACAACTGGTCATCTTTTAATTAATTTACAACAACATTTCAATGGATATTTCCAGAGATTAACGGTAAAAACTACACATTGTCACTTCAAGTCCTTTATTTAGAAATAGGATGTAGTTGCGTCTTCTTCAACAATGTATGATGGACCGCCCCGTTCTCTAACATCTGTAGCATTTTCCAGTAGCATGCAGACAGCGTTTGAAAGATGGCAGTAGATTCCACCCCACGACTGAGATCCATTAATGGGTCATGGCCAGATTATTTATTCACATGATGGCTTGCCAGGCTAGCAATGACTCTCTCATTTAGAGGTTATTTGAACCCATCAGACACAGTTAAAATGAATCATGAATTAAGAGCCATCAAAAACGTCACTGCTCTGAGCTGTTGTTGTCGTTTCTTTTGAAGGTCTTGCATTAAAAAAACAGATTGTAAAATGTGAACACCCTAAGGAATAGTTGGACTGCACCGCTGCTGCAGCTGTGAACGTTACAGGAGTCACGGCCTTCTAGTAGCTCTGATCTTTATGAGTGTAATTAAAACTTCATCCACTTCCTTTTCTTCTGTTATTTCCTGACCAGGTCCCACTGATAGGAAATGTATTTACAGGTAAAACAAACAGGTTGAAAACAACACCACCTCCATTAAGGACAGATTTTCCTGCCATATTACGTACTTTAATGTTACAACAACTAATAATTCTACAGTGAAATAATTAATAAACAGTCATGTTTATGCTTCTTGCTGTGTAACTTGTTTTCTCTCTTTTTTTCAATTCATGGGTTGAGGTTGTGTCAGCCAACCAGTCCAGAATCTATATTGTTCACATTTTTTAAAGAATCATATGATTGTTTCATTTGTATTAATGCTATTTTAGTTAAAAGGGGCAGATAACATAAGTTCTTCTTCTTTCTGTCCCCTTTTTCATTTTGGCTTTTAGCAATTTAGTTCTGTATTTTTATTTTAATGAAAATAAATGAAAATAAAGTTGGAAAAAAATTTTTGGAAGGAAGGTTAAATTGAAACCAATTTCCTTCTCAGCTGGCTGGGTGGTTGAAGGCTGAAGAGGGACGTAGTCTTTGTTTACATCTGTGAGCCCGTGGGGTTGCGGAGTCCGTTCCAGCATTTGTAATCCGACACCGGCAAATCATCATTAGATGTAAAAGTCCCCATTGGGAAAATAAAATAAAGCCTCTGTTGTTAAACCATTGACTATGTGCTAGATGTCTTTCTTGGTGACTTTTTTTACTATGTCATGGTAAATTCCATCAATATTTTTTTGAGTTTAAATACATACTGATGTATCTCTTTATTGGGCCAAATTACTTAATTTTCCTTCAAAGAGACTTTTTTGCAATTCAACTGATATTTTTTTCTTGTTCTTTGACTTTGTAATTAAAAAAGAGCTTTGACTGAAAATATAAGTACAGCTTACATTGTTTGTTAAAGGGATACTTTGCAATGTTTTCATATTTTTTAATAATTTTCTTGAGCCAGTTTGTGCTAAAATAACCCTTTATAGCACATGTGTCAGATACAAGGCCCGCGGAGCATTTTTATGTTGCCCGCAAGATAATTATCAAAAATATATTAAAACTGACCCACTGGCCGATTTTACCACAAAGACTACAACTCCCATGATGCTTTGTGGCGTCAGCGCGGAGCCGAAACGCCCCCTCCTTTGTGTTTTTTCCAGCATCTGCTGCTGGTGTCTGCAGCTCCGCTGTCTCGGACAAACTACACTCCTCTCACTCAGCGCCGAGTTCACTCAGCTATTTTCTGACGTTGAAGCCCAGAAACGGAGATTCTAGCCGCTCAGTAATGTGTTCACGACTGAAAGAGAAAGTTTTCCAACTAACGTCCAGACAGAGCCGATATAACTCCAGCGAGCAGCGACACGCTCAAACCAGCACGGCTCTGTGGTTGCTGTTGTTTCCTCCCCGACACACAACAACGTGGTCAAGCTGCTCAGACATGTTCCATCAGCACAAACCTATGTGAGCACCTGTTGTCATTATTATGATGAAGATGAACAAAACAACAGGAGTCTCCTCCTCAGCTCAGATCAACCCCATGATGCAGGTATCTGGCTGGAACAGGTGAGCATCACAGTAAACCAGTGGAGCAAACTGAGCTTTAAATATGTTGGTTTTATGCTCGTTTTCTGCTCCAAAACATGAAAGTTAACAGGTGACATGTTGCATTTTCATTTAAGATAAAATGATATTTTTATTTTGTTGTTGGCCCGTGAGAAAAGATTTAACCTACAGTAAACAGGAAGTGGAAAGGCTGCAGATAGATGAATAGAATAGAAAATCCCTTTATTGTTCCTCAGTGGGGAAAGCTAGACGTCACAGCAGCGATGACACGTATTACAGGAGAAAAAAAGGAGAATAAAAAATAAGAAAAATGAATAAACAAGAAAACATAAATCCTGAATAGATTTTAAAAATGCTGATTATACCACAAGTAATGAATACCACTGATGTGTTTTATTTAAAACTGACTTGCTCGTGTGTAATTTGGTTATTCCACATTCAGTGTTAATGCAGAAATAAGTTTGTTTCCAAATGTAAAGGTTCAAAATTGCATGTATATTGATAAAGAAAATGTACAAATTTGCCGTCACTTTTTCAAAAAATATTAAGTTTGGCCCTCGACTCCGTCCCAGAGTTTCATTTCGGCCCCGTGTGAGTTTGAGTTTGACACCCCTGCTTTATAGGGTTAATGAAAGGCCACCCGGCCCCTATCGCCCTTTGTGGCCAGAATGCCGCATTTGCAATTTCAGAGTGCAGTCTGTTTCCTGCATGTTTTAGATCATGGCCACAGCTGATTTGTTTGATTTAGAGATGAATAACTCCTGCACTCACTAAGGAAGGCTGAAGAGACATTTGAACTGTTAGATTAAGTTGTTATACGAATGCACAGAGGTGATACGTTTTGCTTTTGGTTCTACAGACACTAGGGGGTGCAAAAAGCAAGCCAAAACTGTCTGGCCTCCCTTTAATAAAAGTACCTCTTGATGATGATGTAGTAATAATCATTTATGTTAAAGTTATTATTTTACTTTTAATTGAAAAAAAAAAACAAGAATACTACTACTCTACTAGAATTTGGTGCAAGAGGTACAGTAACTAGTTGTTGTGGGAGTAGGAGGGATTAAACATGCCTTGATGTCTGAAGGATTTTGGGTGGGTCCTGTCTGTGTGTGTACGTGCGCACGTGTTCATTGTCATTTGATGGTCAGTTGTCCATCGTTAGACTGATAGCTCCTCTGTTATCATGCTAGAGGGTCTTCAGTCCTAATGAGGGCTGCAGCCAGACAGAGCTTAATTGCTTTTAAAATCATTTATCTCTAACAGCCCTTTGCAAAGCCAAATGAGGAGTTAAACACATAAAAAGTCGTGGATTACCAATACACACACACACACATACACACACACACACACACACACACACACACACACACACACACACACACACACATACACACACACACACACACACACACACACACACACACACACACACGCGCGCGCGCGCGCGCACACACACACACACACACACACACACACACACACACACACACACGCACACGCGCACACACACACACACACACTGAAGGCATCATCCGCTGCAAAGACAGATCACGTAGAAACAACACATATAGATGTTATTTTAAAACATCATCATCTGATTTCTAATTTCTTCTAATGTCTTTTTTCCAGAACTTCTCAGTCTTTCTGTCAGCAGCTAGACGGCTGCCTGTGGAGGAGCAACAGAAAGCTCAGGGGTCAGGGGGCAAACTCAACGGGGAGCAGCCTCCAAGCATTGGGATGCCACCCTGCAAGGGCTCCAGAGGCCAAGAGTCACTTGGTTTGTTAAATCCTAACTCAGACAACTGGCTTCTCCAGACACACGTGGTGCAGGGTGAATGTTTGGATCGCTCTTGGTTCTTTACCAACCTGTTGCTAAAAACAGAAGCGTGTTTAAGTTTCTGACCTTGTTTTCACCCGAGGTGAACTTTATTTATGTATTCAGTTTGGATGTTGTAGCGTGGCACTGGCATTTTAGGGAAGCTGTAGATGAAGCTAGAGAGTCCAGGTTTTGTTTTCTGAAATCTAATGGTGTCCAAGTGAAGGGTTACCTTGATCAGAAAGACTAAACAACACAAACACATTATAAAAACATTAACATTGTTCGTGTATAATGGATCATTCCATAAATAAACCCAAAAAGCTTGATTTGAATGCTAAAATAAACTCAACAGGTTTCACTTTCATTGTTCTTTTATTAGTTAATTGCACAAACTAGATACACGTTATAACAAATATAATAAATCTCTTATGAAGAAATGTTCTGTGTTCATTTGAACTTTTAACACTGTATCTATATCTGAGTCAAACTTGACTCATAGTCTTTCTCTAGCGTGTTTGATGATGACTCGGTTCTTCCTTTTACTTGGCTGGGACTTCTTAGCTTCACAGAGATCGCCTTCTGAGAGAGGAAACATCAGCTGCATTAGAGATGCCGACTGTGTGTGTGTGTGTGTGTGTGTGTAGTTACAGCGGACAACCGAGTACCTGATGGGAGGTCTTGTGGCTGCAGGCAGACTGAAGCCAGACTGAAAAGTGTGAAGATGACGAAGGCTAAGACGATGAAGGTGAGCTCAAAACCAGTGAACGGCACTTCCATCGACACAACTGCCCAGCACAAAGCATCCATTTAAATAAGTCACACACACCGATGCTTACAGACAATCTATTGCTGTAAATTTAAAAATTTAATTAATAAACGTCTACAAATAAACTGTGTCAAAGTGTCTCCACCAGAGGGGGCTGCTGAACCAACTGTAGTTCAGTATCCTTTCATGCCGGTAATTTTATGGCCTGAGGTATAATTTCAGAATCCCGGTCTGTCTACAGGATGTTTACACATGAAATTAGACTTTGTTATGGAATAAAAATATTAACTATGAAGGTGTAGTGGTGTTTATGTTAGAGACAGCTATAGATGTGAAACTTTCAGTAAACTTCACTGATGAAGAAACTATACGAACTTATATGAACTTATGATTGTGTTGTAAAGCACCTTGGGGGTGTGTGTGTGTATGTGTGTGTGTGTGTGGGGGGGGGGGGTGTAGAACCCTAAAAGGCGTTCATAAACAAATATTTAAATTGGACATGAAAGTGATAAATTGAACACGTTACAAACTTTGTGCTAAAGGAGCTCACAAGCGACACAGAAGCTAACAGCAAATATTTGATCGTCCATGTTTGATACAAGTATTAAACGTTGTTCTGAAGTCTGAGCTAACACCGCTGGTGTGTCAGCCTGCTGTACGTTTGCTCTCACACACTGATGAGTCACACCTGTGTAATAGTTTAATAATTACATTATTCCTGCTGCACACCTTTATCCAACAGCTTCCTCAGAAACTGACACCTCACATTTCTAACCATTCTTATCAAAAATGAATACCAGTAGGATACTTACTGAGGGAATACTTGGACAGTCCGGTCCCAGCGTAAAAGTTAAAGCTCTTCTTTGTTTCTGAACTTTTAAAAAGAAACAAAAGTCAGCAGGCGGGAGATGCCCTCACAAAGAGGCAGGATTTGAAGCAGGTGTTTCTTCGTTGCTTGTTTTCCTCCACAGAGCACAAAATAAGCCACTCCTATTTATGTCTTATCTTGGAAGCAAATAACGCAGGCTCCCCTCACAAACCGCACATACACTTAAATGTTCACAGGTCAGGTTGGCAGACTTTGTTTTAGGAAGTGATAAAAACTCAAGGCTTCGTCCTCGGGAGGCAGATTTCACTGATAGAGATATCAGCCCCGTCACACCAACAGCTCCCCACTCTCTGGTTTTCCATCAGTCTCTGCAAAAGGTAGAATAACAGGACGGGTAAGTTGCTTTAACCACAATAATAAATATTTCAGATAACTAAAGCTTCCAATATGTGCTCATTGTACTCGTGCCAGGAACCAGAGGTCCACCGATATGGGTTTCTCTATTGCCGATACTGATGTCACGGTCAGCCGGTGGCTGAAATGTGCTGCTGGGCTGATTTTCACGGCTGATATCTTATCTGCACGCTACAATTTCACTAATAACAACAGTTGATGCACAACATTTCTGAATTTAACCACTGTTTGAATCTCAGTATTAAAATAAAACTCTTTAAATCAAAGCAAATAAATAGACTGACCAAGTATTAAATATGACTCCCAGTGTTGCCAACTCAGCAACTTTGTCTCTGTTTCTAACAGTTTTTCGACCCCCCTCTACGACTTTTTTCCCCAAAAAGCGCCTTGCGACATTTCTGAGGACCCTTTGCTACTTTCTGTAGAACTTTCTTGTAGATGTTCCCTGCAGATTAGCAACAAAGAAACCATTTGCACTCTTAACCGGTCTTTCGGGAGTAATGAAAGAGGATGATAATCTGCGCATGTGCATGAGGACTCGCATCTCTGTGGCTCATCTGAATTTCCTTCTGTGACACGGGGATGGTTATATCATGAGACACCCGCTCCCCTTTGCTCTGTGCACAGGCGTGCGCCGTTATTATCGCGATGGAGAGAAAACACAACGGAAAAGTTGAGAAAGTATGAGGGGGAGAAAAAGCAGTTTTTTAAGAAAATGCTGGTAATTCACAAACGTGACGGAGGAGAATGAGTAAAGCAGGAGGCTTGTGCTGTGTCCTATAACAGAACTGTTTGGATCACCACACCAAATCTGCCTTAATATCACTTTATTTTATACTTTTGGAATTTATTTACACATCAAAGCAATTTCGGCCATTTTAATCATGCAAATTAATAATTTTAACTCATAAAATAGTTTTTATTTTCCTCCCTTTCAATCCTAAGAAACACCAACATGTTGAAAAAATATATATAATGATTTATAAAGATTTATTTATATGTTTATAAACCCCCATCTCACACTGCACGGGTGGTCTCATCCTTCCAAGCCCTACCAGAGGCCTGGGAGCTTGAGGGTGCTGCCCAGTATCTTAGCTTTTCTTATCTGCACTTTTCTGGACTGAGATGTCTGATGTATTTCCTGGGATCTGCTTTAGCCACTCCTCCGGTCTGGGGGCTACTGCCCCAAAAGCCCCCTTAGTGGTGTCACACCCTGTCCTGTCTCTCCATTTGGTTCAGCCTGTGTCCCTGTTGATTGCTCCCACCTGCCTCTTGTTTCCCAATCACCCAAGCTCCCAGCCCTCCTGTATTTAAACCCCTCCAGTCCTTTGTCTCTTGTTGCTTCATTTGTTTCCATGTCCTGCGTGCATGAATCATTAAAACCATTTCAGTTGTCCAGTTTGTCTGCCTGCCTGCTTTCTCCCCTGCATTTGGATCCTCACCTCCGCTCCACTCACCAGCGCACCCTGACAGAATGAAGCAACCCATTGAAGGATCCAGCGGGGAGATTCTCCCGAGGGAGTACCTGCTCCAGTGGCACGCTCCAAGCCACCACCCGGCTTCTCCAGCTCCGCCTCGCCGCGGACGACGGCGCCGGCGTGCACCCTCGGCCTTCCTCTCCACCCTCCCAGCGCCTGATGAGAGACCGGATCGAGAGACGCGTTCGGATCACTCCAGTTACGTGGGCACCCGTCTGGCTGTGTGCTCCCCCGGCGTTGGTCCACGGCATGGAGAGAGACGCCGGGCTCTCCCGCAGTCCTGTGTTCCGGGACGGAGCTGTGTGCCCGCCGCTGCTCCTGCTCTGCGCACCAGTTTGGACAAGCCCCCGGCCAGACCAGCAGTTCCAGCTCCGACCCAATCGGCGCCTCCGTCATCTGCAGAGGGAGGAGCGTTGGCCGCAGCCCAGCTGACTGAGCTCATCAGTCTCCAGGTGGAGCTTGGCCGGTTCCGCCAGCTCATCAGCTTCCAGGAATCCCGCCTGGACGCTCTATCCTCCTCATCTCAGGACCAGACGAGCGAGCCCGGTGTTCACCCAGCGGAGCTCGCCGATCTCCGGGCTAAGCTGGCCCAGCTCCATTGGACCCTCAGCCTTAAGGAGCGTCAGCTGGACGGTCTGTCCTCCCTGCTTTCACAGTTCTCAGCACCACCTGCTCTGTCGCAGCCAGCTCCAGCAGTGGCCCCGGTGGACGCTCCGCGTCCAGCTCCAGCGGTGGTCCCGGAGGTCGCACCGCATCTGGTCCAGCCTGGCCAGGCAGCTCCTCCTGCAGCAGCTCTGCCTCCAGCCCAGAAGCTGATGATACCGGTCCGGAAGCAGGCGGTCCCGGCCCAGAAGCAGAAGGTTCGGGCCCAGAAGCAGATGGTTCCGGTTCTGGCCCAGAAGCAGACGGTTCCGGTTCCGGCCCAGAAGCAGACGGTTCTGACCCCGAAGCAGATGGTTCCGGTTCCGGACCAGAGGTTGACGGTCTAGGGGTCAACGGTCCAGGGGTTGACGGTTCGGAAGTCGATGGACCAGAAGTCAACGCCTCCAGACCAGGAATCGATGCCCCCGGACCAGAAGTCGATGGGGGTCGACGCCTCCTCCAGTTCAAGGGTCGACGCCCCCGGGCCAGAAGTCGACGCCCCCGGGCCAGAAGTCGACGCCCCTTCCTGTCCAGAAGTCGACGCCCCTTCCTATCCAGATGTCGACGCCCGTTCCTGTCCAGAAGTCGACGCCCGTTCCTGTCCAGAAGTCGACGCCCGTTCCTGTCCAGAAGTCGACGCCCGTGCCTGTCCTGAAGTCGACGCCCGTTCCTGTCCTGATGATGTCTCCTCCAATCCTGAAGTTGGCTCGTCTGATGACGTCTCCTCTGAAGTCGGCTCGTCTGATGACGTCTCCTCTGAAGTCGGCTCGTCTGATGACGTCTCCTCTGAAGTCGGCTCGTCTGATGACGTCTCCTCTGAAGTCGGCTCGTCTGATGACGTCGCCGCCTCCCAAGTCTGCTCGTCCGACGACGTCGCCTCCCAAGTCTGCTCGTCCGACGACGTCGCCTCCCAAGTCTGCTCGTCCGACGACGTCGCCTCCCAAGTCTTCTCGTCCGACGACGTCGCCTCCCAAGTCTGCTCGTCCGACGACGTCGCCTCCCAAGTCTGCTCGTCCGACGACGTCGCCTCCCAAGTCTGCTGGTCCGACGACGTCGCCTCCCAAGTCTGCTGGTCCGACGACGTCGCCTCCCAAGTCTGCTGGTCCGACGACGTCGCCTCCCAAGTCTGCTGGTCCGACGACGTCGCCTCCCAAGTCTGCTGGTCCGACGACATCGCCTCCCAAGTCTGCTGGTCCGACGACGTCGCCTCCCAAGTCTGCTCGTCCGACGATGCGCCTCCCAAGTCTGCTCGTCCGACGACGTCGCCTCCCAAGTCGGCTCGTCCGACGACGTCGCCTCCCAAGTCGGCTCGTCTGACGACGTCGCCTCCCAAGTTGGCTCGTCTCACGACATCGCCTCTGAAGTCGGCTCGTCTGAAGTCGGCTCGTCTGACGACGTCGCCTCCCAAGTCTGCTGGTCCGACGACGTCGCCTCCCAAGTCTGCTGGTCCGACGACGTCGCCTCCCAAGTCTGCTGGTCCGACGACGTCGCCTCCCAAGTCTGCTCGTCCGACGACGTCGCCTCCCAAGTCGGCTCGTCCGACGACGTCGCCTCCCAAGTCGGCTCGTCCGACGACGTCGCCTCCCAAGTCGGCTCGTCTGACGACGTCGCCTCTGAAGTCGGCTCGTCTGACGACGTCGCCTCCCAAGTCGGCTCGTCTGAAGTCGGCTCGTCTGAAGTCGGCTCGTCTGACGACGTCGCCTCTGAAGTCGGCCCGTCTGAAGTCGGCTCATCTGACGACGTCGCCTCTGAAGTCGGCTCGTCTGAAGTCGGCTCGTCTGACGACGTCGCCTCTGAAGTCGCCGCCTCTGAAGTCGGCTCGTCTGACGACGTCGCCTCTGAAGTCGCCGCCTCTGAAGTCGGCTCGTCCGATGACATCGCCTCTGAAGTCGGCTCGTCCGATAACGTCACCTCCTCGTCCGAAGTCGGCTCGTCTGAAGTTGCCTCGTCTGAGGATGCTCTCTCCAGTCCAGAGGTCGACGCTCTCTCCTGTCCAGAGGTCGACGCTCTCTCCTGTCCAGAGGTCGACGCTCTCTCCTGTCCAGAGGTCGACGCTCTC